CAGGCAGCGAGTAGGGCTGCTCGTGGCCGCCCTTTTGTCACAGCTGCTGCTCCTTCTTTTCTTCATCATCTGGGAGGTTAGGCCACGAGAGAGCAAGACCACAGTTCGAGTCCCAGACCCGGGGGCTTAACAAACGGTTGGAACTCTGACTGTCGTCATTAGTTCCCTAGGGATGCCTGAGAAAGTACGACAGAAGAAAACTGTGGGCGGCTTCTACAGCAGAGATTTTTCTGGAAGCGGCAGGGCCTGGGCAGCCTCTCCCTTTGGTGTGTAGACAGCCCTGTCCTCCCTGTGTCTTCATGCGGTCCTCCCCACGTGATGAGATCCCCCACCCCCCCAGATATACTTCCATTCTGAAGCACTGGGGGAGAGGGCTTTAACATACGTGTTTGAGGGGAGCAATTTCGCTCATAACAGTTACACATGCAGAAAGTGAAGTTAGACCCTCATCTCAGACCATGCACAGAAATCAACTCAAAAGGGTTCATACACCTAAACTTAAGATCTAAAACTGTAAAAATTCTAGAAGGACACAGAGGACAGAAATTCACGACCTCGAGTTAGGTGAAGAGTTTTTAGATAAGACATTAGAAGTATGAACCATATGTGTGTCCGTGTGCACCCAAAATCCCAAGAGGTGAATGGAGGAAAAGGGATTGCGGCTCGGCCATCCTCCTTAGGGGTGATTTCTCACTTCCTCTCTCTGCCTCTGGAGAGCGCAGGCACCCTATGGGAAAAACATAAAAAATAAAGTATGAGCCGTGAAAGAAAAAAACGGTAAAGTTGGACTTCATTACAGTCTGCTCACAAACTTACCTTAGGAGGTAAAAGTAGAAGCAGGAATAAAGTGATGTATCTGCTTTTTGAAAAACAAATAAGAAAAGAATGATGAGACCAGCAGATGGTATAATGGCTATGTCACTGGGCTCCCATGTAGTCAACCATGGTTTGAGTCCCAGAGCTGGCAGCTTAAACCTCAAGCCAGACACATGTGCATGCATGCCCAAGATCTGAAGAGGAGAAGGGATTATAATGACGCCATCCTCCATGGGGGGTGATTTCTTGCCTTCTGTCTCTCTGACGAATGCATACGCCCTATAGCAAAAATCTCTCTAAAAAGAAAAAAAGAAAGAAAGTGAGAGAGAGAAACAGAGTGGTGGACCAGCAGGTGGCATGTTGGTTAAAACTGGGTTCCCACATGGCTGACATGTCCCTGACCCAATGGCTTAAGAATCATGCTGGTCACGTGCGCATGTGTGCCCAAAATCACAAGAGGAAAATGAAGGAGAAGGGATTGTGGTGTGGCCATCCTCCCAGGAGGTGATTTCTTGCTTTCTATCTCTCTGTCTCTGTCTCTCTGGTGAGTGCATGCACACTATAGCAAAACTCTCTCCTAAAAATAAAATAAAAGAGGGAACCAGCAGTTAGAGTAATGGCTATGTCACTGGACTCCCACATAGTTGACTGTGGTTCGCATCCCGGACCTGGTGGCTTAAAACTCACGCCGGGCGCGTGTGCGTGCGTGCCCAAGATCCCGAGAGGAGAATGGAGGAGAAGGGATTGCGGCGTGGCCATCCCCCCTAGGGGGTGATTTCTCGCTTTCTTTCTCTATGTCTGTCTCTGTCTGTCTGGCGAGCACATGCGCCCTATAGCGAAAACCTCTCTAAATGAATGAATGAATGAATGAATGAATGAATGAATGCAGGGCCAGCATGTGGTGTGGTGGTTAAGGGTGCTAAACTCCCACACAGCTAACCATGGTTTGAGTCCTGGACCTGGTGGCTTTCTCCCCCCCCCCTCGTCCTTTTCTGGTCAAATTAAAATAAATAAATAATTAAAGTTAAAATAATTCCTAAAAATAAAATGAATGAAAAGACATGCCACAGAATGAGGTAAAATATTTGTTAATTACACATCTGATAAGGGAGTTACTGCGAATACATAAAGAGCTGTGGCAGCAGGTGGTCGGCGCTGTGTGTGAGACTAGAGCCACAAAGGAAGGCCTCGGGTTTAGTTTCTAGGCAAACCTGAACATCCACATGCCTGTGAGCATACCTGTGGTCCTGGCTGGCTGGAAGGCTGGGAATGGGTCATGGTGTGACGTGACCCTGTTGGGGTCCCCCCACTGAAGAAAGAAATACACGTTTTGAAGAGGTTTTTCGGCACATGCACTCTTCGAAAAGACAGAGAGAGACAAAAGGCGAGAAATCACCCCCCCGGGGGGATGACCACACCACAATCTCTTCTTCATTCTCCTCTCAGGATCTTAGGCATGCACACACATGCGTCCGGCATGAGTTTAAGCCACCAGGTCAGGGACTTGAACCACAGTCGACTACGTAGGAGTCCAGCGACATAGCTATTACACCAACTGCTGGTCTCTGAAATAAATACACTTTTTTTTTTTTGAGAGAGAGAGGTTTTCGCTATAGGGCGCGTGCGCTCGCCAGACAGACAGAGACAGAAAGACCGCAATCCCTTCTCCATTCTCCTCTTGGGATCTTGGGCACGCACACACACATGCCCGGCGTGATTTCTAAGCCACTGGGTCCAGGATGCGAACCACGGTCGACTATGTGGGAATCCAGTGACATAGCCATTACGCTAACTGCTGGTTCCCTGAAATAAATACACTTTTAAAATTAAAAAAAAAAAAATGGGTAACCTAATTTTAAATGGGAAAAAGACCACAATAAAAATTTTACTTGGGACCAGCAGATGACATAATGGCTACTTCACTGAATTCCCATGTAGTCAACCACAGTTTGAGT